CGATTCATTTGCACTGGCGGGGGCAGGGGTATGGCGTGTCCACCTCCAAGTTTGAACGTCTAGAGCTTGTTGTTCAGTATTGCTTCCAAAATAAGTTCCTGAGGGTATTATTTTAAAATGATATTTCACATCTTTTCCCAGACGATTTCAATATTGAATTCTACTTGCAAACATATTGGATCCCTGTTAGAACAGAGAGAGACCACCATGCTGGTATTCTCACTGTCCGTGGAGGACCGCTCTTGCACTCTGCTGCAGATACCAAAATTCATGGATGCTCAACTTCCTTGTAGAAAACCATACAGCACCTGTAGGTGACCTACCCAGCCCTCTGTGTACTGCATCTTTGGAGTACTTGCAACAACCAGCACATGTAAGTGCTGTGTGAATAGTTGGTACAAGCGCAGCAAGTCCATATGTATTCGGCATGGATGCAGCTCTTCCCCAAATGTCGTCCTCCATCTGCGGTTGGTGACTCCTCATATGCGGAGCCCGTGAATGCGCAAGGCTGACTCTACTCAGAGAAATGGGCCCATCTGCAAGAGGACCGGCCCCTCCTAGTAGCCCAACTGTTAAGGTTTCCTAAGAAAACAGTGCAGATCAAGATACCACCTGAGCATGGATTTTCTATCCTGGATTGGTGCTCTTTTTATGACTGTGTGGGTTTCTTTTTATTGCTACCAATGCAAACAAAGCAGGGAGATAAATTTACAGATCTGTCGCTGCAGCGGCATCCCACTGTCACACGGGAAGCGGAGGAGAGAAGAGCTGCGCAGGTGATGGAGGCGCAGCTGCCCGGGACTCTCCGCAAACTTCTTTTCAAGAACTCTGTGAAGAGAACAGCGGAGAAGGTAGCGCAGACAGGGGCCAGAAGGGAGCCTCAGCGCGGCCTGTGCCGACGGCGGAGAGCGAAGAGCCCGCCTCAGAGACAGCGAGGGAAAGGCCGGCTCCCAGGACCCAGCCCCGCAGCTGCTGCCTTTCCTGAGGGAACGGGCCAAGCGAGCTGCGATGGCCGCCCGCCCCAGTGGGGTGCAGAGGTGAAGCACCCCCTCAGGAGCAGGCCGGCTGTCTCCTGGAGGAGCTGCTGCGAGGCAGGCAGAGGCCTGCAAGAGGAGCCGGCGGGACCTGGGAGCGGACCCGCGTGCAGCAGGCAGGAGGTTAGGGAGCTGGGCCGGGCTGCTCTGTGCCGGCCGAAGCCCGCAGGCGTCTGGGAGCCGCGTGGCATGTGCACACATGTGCGCATGTGCAGCTGTGACGTGCAGCAGACTGAGCTGCTCCCCCCTCAGGGTCACAGGGAAGGCCCGGCCCCCAGTGCACCTGGACTGGAGGAAGTTCTTCAAAGAGGCCATGGAGGTTAAACGAGCGGCAGGACGGCTCCCACCCACAGGACCGCATCCCGTAGACGGGGAGGGGGAGCGGCGGAGAGAAGACCCTGGGGGCCCAAGGAAGGGGGCTGAGGTCGCGGCCTCGGGAGGAAGCAAGGCTGCCAGCGCTCCAGAGTGGGCTGTGGCCTCCAGAGCTGCCAGGAAAGGCGCCTCACCGGCGCAGGCCCCTGATCTGCAAGGTGTGGAGGGCGGTGCACACGGAAGTGGCCCTCCCGCCCCTCTGGACAAAATCTCTGCTTCCGCGGAGCTGCCCTGTTCCGCTGGCACAGCAGATGGCAGCGGTGGCACGGCCAGGGAGCTTGCGTGCTTGTAGCTGTGGCACAGGCGAGGAAGGGTCAGAGGCTTTGGGAGGTGATCGGCTGGGGTCAGGGAAGGGATGAGAGCCCTTGGGAAAACGCTCCCCAGAGCTCCCTGCACTCTGCAGGGGAGGTGCAGGCAGGAAGGAGCCGCTGTCGGAGCCGGAAAAGGGGTCCTCTGCAGACTCTCCCTAACGGAGCCTTGCGTTTGATTTCCGGGCTCCAGCACTGAGCGGGACGTTTCAGTGCAGATCCGGGATGTGGCTGCAGCAGCCCACGTGGACTAATGCAGTGTCCGCATAGGTAGTAACTAAATGGGCTCTAAGAAAGCAAATGAGATACAGTTTAAAAGGAGAACCGAGTCAGTAGATTGTCCAGCTTGTGTGTGGTGCGTGTGTGCAGCCTCACGCTGTACGGATGTACCGTTCTTTCACGGGGTCTCTGCCCGTGTCTTTGCGCCGGGCTCCTTGGGGGGGTTTCTTCGGGTTCTCTCTGAGACTCCCTTGGGTGAACTCAGCCGGATGAGGACTCAGCGTGCGACTGCTTGGCTTTGTATCAGCTTCAAGGCCGCCTGCTTTGTTCAATCATTGCAGTGGGGCCTTTGCCTCCACAGCGGGTCTCAGCACAGGTGACAGAGCAGGACCAGGCTTTGTTCCTGGGAGGCTCTTAGGAGTGGGAATTGAAACAATTTGGCCGGCGGGTCGCCAGCCCCTGCTCCTGCGGGGCTGCCCTGCAAATCCACAGCAGGCAACAGCAGACATTCATTTACAGACCAATGAAACCTCTCCTACACTTCAGGCTTGCCCTTTGATAGCGTTTTCTTTTTTCACTGTCACCATGGTTTTTAAGAATTGAGATAACTTTCTTTATAATGAAATTACCAAAAGTTAGAACTTCGAAGCCTTCTTTGGAATGTTGGGAGTCGGACTTCCGGGCATCATCTGGGAGTGAGCAAAGAGGTTACAGAAGAAGCCCAGGATCTGGTGCGCACACACTGAGTGGAATAACTAAACAACATCAGAGAGCTTGTGGAAGCCATGCCTTTAAAAACCCACATGTCTTTTACCCTTCCTAACCTTTGAGTAAGTCTTTTTGCACATGAGATGAGTGCATACTAGATGTTTTCCCTTGTATATTCATTAGACACCTCAAACACAACCTGTCCATCCTGAGCTAATTAGCATACGCACTCTACTTTGCTTACGGGGCCTTTCTCTCTGCTCATTCACTGACGGTAGACATCTAAGAGCTGCCTGACTCACCCTTTTCCCTCACTGCAGGACCCAAGAACACCCCACCGATCACATTAGTTTAGAATGTGTCATGCAGGTGCCCTTAATCTCCAGCCCAAACCTGTACCACTTCATGTCAGTGGAGTAGTAACTGGCCTTTTTCCTAATCTTTCTCCTCTCAGTTTTGCCCTACTGATGCCAATGTGAATTCTCTAAAGTCCATTCCAGAAGACGCTCTCTTCTTCTGAACTACTGTTACGGTGTCTGGATGTCCTCCCAAAGCCTCATGCAGTCATAGGGTGCATTTCTAGAGTGTATGACTGATCCATGATCCATGGGTGTGAGTGCTGCACCTGCCCTGGGGGGGGGGCAGCTTGTGTACAATATAGGAGGGAAAAAAGCTTGCTCTCTGCTGCTGCTCCTCCCTTTCTGCTCTTGTTACTTTTGCTGTTTTGTTTCCTCCACCATGAACTGTTGCCCTCTGCCATGTGTCACCCCACCTTGGAGCCAACCAAGTATGGACTGAAACCTCTACAAACTGTAAGCTAAATATACCTTTCCTTCCTTAATTCTGAATGTCATATATTTTGTCTCAGCAAGGAGAGAAAAGTAACTGAGACATCTACCTACCAACTGCTTGGCCATTGTATGATACCAACTTCTTAATTTTTCCATACCCATTTCCTATTACCTTGTTAGTGCTTGCTTTTTCTAGTATCTTATTCATGTTTGTTTTTTCTGTTATCCTATTTGTGCTTTTCTTTCTCCCATTTTCTCTGGGTTTTCACTTCTAGCCCAACATCCAGCTCACTCCCATTAATTTCACTATGATATGCTTCCGTGCTTTTCCTCCCTCTCCCGGGACCATCTCACTCACCCATCAGCTGCCCAACACGTGTCTCTTTATCTTTCAAGATCCAGGTCAAGAGCGTCCTTCTCTGTGAAACCTTTCTGACCCCTTTCCTCCCTGCTCCCACTGAACAGGTATTTACCATACTTATTCATTCATATTTGCTTTCCCTGCTAGAAGGGAAGTTCTTAGAGGCAGAGATTGTGCATCACCCACCTGGAAGTCTCCTGAGAGTGAAGCAACCCTGGATACAGTGAGGCATGCTTTACAAAGACTTCTTTAATGAAAGGAACATCTAATCTTTTTGCACAAAAATAATATAAACTATTTGTGGGATATATTTCATAGAAGAGAATGATTGAGAAATTGTCCCAAGTTAGTCATGTAATATGACTTCTTCTCACCCTCTTGGTGTGATTTTCCCCAGAATTATGTAAGCGAGAAGGGTATTTTCATCTTCTTCTCCCTCCACCTTCTCAAAAGCCCCATCATTCTCATTATATTTGGGAACCAAGAAAGTTATTCCCAATTCTGAGTTTTTCCTCTGAGTCAGTATAGTTGTACAGGTGATTACGCATGATATTATGCAGAGAGAACAGGAGCAGCTTTCTCCCAGTGCTAAGGGCAAGAGACAGGTGAAACATTCTCCTTACCAGGTTAGGGTGAGGAGGGGACAGAGAGCTACTTGAGGCTTCTGTGAGTGTCATTGTCTATAAACTCTGAATCAAATAACTGAACTTAGTGCTGAGACTGACAGGGTTCCAGTCTCTCGTATTGAACTAAAGCAACAGAAAGGGCAGAGGGATATCTGATTTGCCACTGGCAAATTCCCCGACTCAAAGTCAATTCTTGTGGGAATTTCAAGAGCTTCTATACACTATTGATTACTGATATTTTCAATCAATAGTCCTGGGTGAAACTGATTAATTATCAATACTTAACAGGTGTTTTAGAAAAAGCAAAAACTCATATTAACCACATTTAAACTCATTTCCACCTCCAATCTTCCAGCTTGTTACTAGAATTATATAAGAATAGATTTTAAAATACCTTTAATGAAAAGAAAGAAGTACTTTTTTAATATGCTGATCTTTTATGAAAAGCATCTTAGGCCGCTGGGCACCAAAGCCTTTATTCCCTGTTTGTGTGGCGCATGGAGGGATCAGGAAGGCTTGGCAGGAAGCAGTAAAGAAGAGGCTCTGAACCCTAGAGAAGGAGACATAGGTTTGATACTTACAGCTGTCCTCTTCTTCAGTTATGCATTTCACAACATAACAGGCGTAGATGAACCCTGCCAGCTGAAATAAAACAGAGATGGTTTAGACGTTAGGCAAAGACAAGGATCAGACCTCTCTGTGGGGTGGCCTTCCCAAGACACACGGCTTATGATCAGATCTAGGGCTCCAAAATGGCTCTTCAGAGTGGATCTTGACTGCAGAGTGGATTCTTCATTCCAGTGGTATTCAGCTGCCGCGCAAGTAATTTATTGCGCTATTTTCTCTGGCAGTGTTAATGTCTAAGATTTGTTAATTGCTAGATAATCTAAAATGAATTATTTTAGGTAAAAAAGAAAAAAAAAAAGAATCACCAGGTATCAGTGAATTTAACATTTGGGTTTGGGCCCATCATCTTCTACTCTACTTTTCCTTTGGCCAGGGCTTTGGATTCTAAAACTAACTTCCTCCTGACCATCAGAAAAGTGATTTGAGAGAAAATGTTAAGGAAGTCCCGTGGCACGTTACATGAACTCGGTAAGAAAGGGAAACTTTCATTTAGGCCTGTACCCGCAACCAGGGCCTACTGAGCGTAATGAGGTCACCGCAAAGTAACCAGGGGGACACCCGGAAGCCAGGAGTGGCAGCACCACCCACTGAACTGGGATTTTGCGGTCGCCTCACCCTGTCTGAAGCACACTACAAGGGTGACCCCAGGGGTCAGAAAAGTCCTTGCTCACGGAAATTAGTGCTGCAGGTAACTGTAGCCAGAACACTGGGATCTATTCCCTCGGATTTAGTACTCTTGTATTCCTTCATATAACTTGTAGAATACCCAAATTCTGAGCTCTGGTAGAAGGAAGTAAATGAATAAAATTAGTAGATAAGTACAAAACTTTGTTTTTTAAACAAAAGCACTCCAGTTTGAGTCAGTTCTGAATGGTATGTGCTCGGAACATTGGTGAAGATCATGCAGAATAACATTTACAACAAGCCCCGAGGTGGCTACGTACTGACCCCACAGGATCATGCTCTGTGTAGAGAAGAGGGTAGTTTGAAAGGTGGCAGTCCTAAGTCAGGAAGCTAAAGCTCAGGGTAAAAGGAGTTGCCACAGTAAGAGCAAAGAAGTTGACCTCCATTTATTGAGAGACAGAGATTCTCTGCAAGATGTGAGTGGAACACTTTTAAGTCAGAAGATATTTAATAAGCTCAGGACTATTTGGAGAAGAAAGAGAGCCAGTTAAAAGGTGTGTCAGAATATTTCTAATTTGAATTTGAGAGAGAAAGAGTGTTCTAGAATATTCAGGCTGTTTCTGAAGAGAAGTACCATGGAATAAAATAGTCGTTATCCAGGAAGAAAGAAGCAGCAGCAGTGGCCATGCTCAGGGAGAGACAGGGGGGGAGCACCCATTCAATATGTCCTTCAAAGGCCCTTACAGCAGAGCACGGAATAAGAATGCCACTGAGGATATATTAGTTTCATTTTTAGAAATTATTTTTTGAATATTCACCAAATCAACATGTTTCTCTTTCAATTATAGGATGCTATTGGCAATAAAATGGTATTAATAAAATCTACTTCCTTAATGTGAAATCATCAAGATCTTTGTTTTTTAGATATTTATTTGTAGAACACAGGGTACCGGTTAGAAACTACTGTCTCTTATTTGGCTTTAGCAAAGATGATAAAAATCGCGTAGTGATTTGAGCATTTTCATAGAGATGATCCCAGTGGTTAATCTTTTATCCACCAGGAGCCAGGGAAACATGCTGTTCACTGAGTAGACCAGTCCCATGGGTGCTTTGTCACTGGGATTTAAACCTGGCTGTGGATTAAGGGGAAGAAGTGAAAGTTTTGGGTGAATGAGTTCCTCCCTTATACCACCATTCCTTCCTTCACACTAAATCCTTAACATGTGTGCCTAAATATTACTAACATCACTTGTTCATCTCTCCTTTCTAAGTTCTTGTTTAGCTACTTGTATAACAATATTTCCCCAATGACAAGCTTTTCATTCCTCCTCATTATTTCATTACTTTGAAATGAAAAACTAAGCAACAAGTATTGATAAATAAAGAGAGGTGTCATAAATAAATAAAGAGAGGTGTCAAGTCATTTCTAACACCAAGAATGTTTCCCTTCCTTTTGAGATTCAAATTCCTCATTAAAGTATCACTAGATTCTAGGTTATTAAGTATACTCCTTCTGAATGCTGCCAAGGAAGTGCATTCTACTTATCAGTGATCTTTTAATTGTATTCAGTTACATTCTTTAATTATCAGGGGAGTTCCTTTGATATAAAAGTAAATACTGGTGCATTTCATTATGAAAGCTTGCTGATTAAGGTAATTTTAGCTTTTAAATTGGTCACCTCTAAATACAAATGAAAACTTGTTTTCCCTCCAAATTAATCAAGAGGCATAAACTTTGCTCTCATCCAATTTCCCCACACTATACAAATTTCCAAATTCATTTTAAAATCCCAATAGCGATTTGTAAAATTTAGCTGTGGAAGAGAGGTGTCAAGTCATTTCTAACACCAAGAATGTTTCCCTTCCTGTGCAACTCTGCTCATTGTTTCCTGGACTACAAATGTTAACTAAACTAGGGCTTCTAAACCTTTGACCACTGACAGTGTTTTGAGGAGGCTATTGGTGTTTTAGTATGACAACCAGTAGCATCCTACAATCAAAGACAGTCAACAACTGATACAATTAAGAATATCTCTAGATATATGTCCCTAAAAGGGCAAAATTGTTCCTGATCAGAGCCACTGTTTTAGATACAGTCTTGGTTTTAATCTGGAATCTTGTAGCAGGATACACATACAATCGTAGTGTAAACATTTAGGTAAGTTGTCAGAAAAATGGAAAAAATTTATGCGCACTAAGTGGTGACAGGAAACTGAATGTTTTCATGTACTGGTACATTAATCCCCACAATCCTCTCTGAGAGAAATTTATGTGCAGTTTGCAGATGAGAGGTAAACAGATCTGCTTTCCCAGAGTGAGATCATGAGATGGAGAAGCTATGGGTTGTGCTAAGATCCAGTAAATCTGTCTGATTAAAGTTTGGGGGCTCTAGACCAGAACAATGGGAATCAAAACCAGGAAGGCAGATTAGGGTCATCAGCAGAAGATTGTCAGTATGTATAAAGTCACATATCTAGGCCATTCTTTTGTACAATATATTTAAGGAGCACTTCCTGCAAAAGCATAATATTTTTTACAGGGCACAAATCCTTCCTGAAGTTATGTTTAGGTTCTTTGCTTATGTCACTTACCACCACTTTTAGTCAGGGATGGATGGGCAAGTGTGAACTGCTAGTAGTTTCCTGGCAACATCCCATAGTTTTCCTCATTTCCTCATTCTGCCCACTAGGAGTACTAACCCTCCTTTCCTTCTTCCCTGTGCCACAGAGCCATGCACCTGAAGTAACTCTAACTCATCCCTTGAGACTGAATTTGAGTGTCACATTCCCCAAAGAGTGGCAATCCCTTCCCAGAGTAAGGGGTAGGCTGGCATCTCTTTTATTCTTCTTTTTGTGGTATTGGGAATTGAACCCAGGATACTTCTGAGATTGATCCCAAGAGAGAGAAGGCTATAGGAGGGAATAGAGAAGGCAAAGCAGGAGTAGATAGGACCTCTTCCACGCAGAGTTGAGATGAGATCTGGAAGACATGGATTCAGTTCAGGGAGGAGGAAGTGCCCCGTTCAGGGGAGTTCAGTCTACCCGAAGAGAGGTAATGGGCACAAAGCAGAGAATAAAGACTCATGCCATTGTAGGTCTGTATTCCTGAATTTAAATTAAGTGACTTCCGGGTGCTGGGGATTTATCTCAGTGGCACAGCGCCTGCCTGGCAAGTGCAAGGTTGTGAGTTCCATTCCTGGTACTGGAAAAAAGCTAAAAAAAAAAAAAAAAAAGTGACTTCTACTTTGTTCCTTCTTTAACAAGGCTAGAACAATAATGGCCGTTACATGTGGTATTCTAGTAGGTGAGCACATAATGATCCACTTGTGAAAAAACAAATTCTTCCAGGTGTTTTAGTCCTTGGCATTCAAAGCAGAGCTAAGTCTAAATCTTTTTAGTTTTATTCATCTTTTCACCTTCATATAGCTAATATGATTTGTTCACTTTTAATTCACCTGGTAGGGAATGACATATCATCTTGATGCTATTACTGACAAAAAGGAAATGATATTTTTCTTCCATAACTAAATCAGATTAAAAGTTTTGGGTGCCCAAAAATCAAATTATGAGTGTTTGTTTCAGAAATTCATTTAGCAATGAATAGATAAAAAGAAACAGAAGACTTTTGATTTGTGTTTTAAAAATCAATTATAATACTCTAAAATGTAACAAATTTAGTGCTTAAAATATTGCACTTTTGACTTTTTCCTGAGAAGCTGGAATAGTGAAAGGGATACTCCTTCCCTTCTACTAAGTACAGCTAAAAACCCCTGATATTATTCCGCGACAAATATAGAAAGGTGGACAGTGGGAAGCAGCCTTATCAGAGACCCGAGGATCAAGGCAAGGTGTAGGAATGAATTCTCTGTGTTTTTTATTTTCTTTTATTATTATCATGTTTTTGTGGTCTCACATATACTCAACTTGGTGCTGAAAAGCTCACAATTGAAAATAGCAGTGGGCAAGATTTTTAGAAACATTTGAAGACGGTGTTGCCTCTTCTGTGGCCAACACTACAGGAAAAATAAGCAAGCAACAACTGTAGCCCTCCTCCCTGATTACGGCAGCAGAGCGGGGGCCAAAACTTCCTTCCCGACCAGGCCATGGTGTGTGAGAGGTCAGTATAAATCCCGGACTTTCATTCCTGCTAAGAAGACCCTATCATCAACTTGAACCCTGAAATCACTGATAGGTTGGTATCCTGCCAGCTGCTTACTTGTGAAATTTAAAGCCTGGTGGTGAGAAACACAGGGTTTCCCGCTGCCAACCATCAAGTTATCACAAGTTTCCTGCTGGTAAATGGGGACTCTAGGCCAGCCTGATCTGGTATAGAGGCCACATGGACTCTCCAGATGACCTGGACCTTGTTATAATCTCATTGTAATAATTAAT